ATTTCGAGGTTGCCGGGATTCAAAGCGCTTTTGAAGACATAAATAACCTTAAAGAAATTCATGCAATATCAAAAAATGAATTTATTCGAATGATTATCACGTTGCGAAAGAAGTACATGCGGAAATCGAAAAAAACGGATGCACCATGTATCCAATTTCTGAGGAAAAGGACGGACGAATTTGTGTATTGTCGCGAAAAAAACTGCACCAAAATTGGCAATGCTGCTTGAAATTTCTCGACCACTTAAATAATGATTGCAAAATGCAAAAATTGAGTATATACTGTACCTTGTTTTGTCGAATAACATGACTGACGACTTCTCTTGATCCCGTTTCCAGTCCACTGTATGCCAAAGGCTCGAAGCCAAGTCTTGTGCAATAAAACGACGCTGCCTGTTATCGAAATAAAACTGCTGAAATTTGCTGAAATTTAGCACACAAGCCAATCGAAGTTTGTCTCATGTCTGCCTATTTTACTTCAGATAACTCTGATGTCTTGGTCGTCTAAAAATGGTTTTAATCTTCTATCGTCCGGTTGTCAAAAGGTCTTCGAATAAAAGCTTTCTATCATTCCAGAATATCCAAGAACTTCGTGGAAAAATATTTTGTATCCTGTTGAAAGAATCTCATATTCTTCGACGGAATTTATTTTCCCAGGCGGTTTCATTCGAACCATATACTGTATATAGATGAATACTTTCAGAGATATTCAACCCAAATCAATTAAACCAGATTCGAAAAGTTGGTAGATACATTTTCTGGAAGCCTCTCTGGAAGTTGACATGGGTTTCTGATGGAGAAACATTGTTGAAGAAATTCCTCTGGGCATTTGAATCAAGTTCAGCTTGTTTTTCTGAGAGAAAAGAAAATATTCGGAAAATTAATGGGCTCTCTAAAAAATAGCCCCAACAAGAGAAAGCTGTTGATACTTACGAATTTATTCTCATGATCAATCCATTTTTTTCAATTGTACAAAATTACCTTAACTGTATTTTGACCATTAGAATGAAGCTCGTAGATATTTGAAAGACTTCAGGATATTTTGAACTCAGCAAATATAAATAATCAGTGAATCAGTCTTTCGAAACATCTATTGAATTTTCTACAAGATACTATTCAAAAAGCCTCGGGTACCTTATTTCCGGGATTTATTTATCCTAGTTATAAACCCCGTGAACCACCATGAAACCAGTCCTATTGTTTCTTTGTTTCAGAGTATTATCGCGGGAAAGTTGTTCGACCGTAAATTATACAATGTCATAAATTTGAAAAATTCGGGCTATCATGAAGCGTCGAATAAATCCATCTCCGTCTCGGTCAAATAAAAAAAAAAATACACCCCCTCCTATATCGATAAATCGCATTGATTTTTTATGTTGAAAGTTATGAATAATTTTATTCAGATGTTTTGAAGCCGATATAAACTTTATAATACAAGGAGGGGAAATCATTCAAGTGATTGCAAAATTCTGTACAATCAACCGGAATTTAAAATTGATTACTGACAGATACATAAGTATAAACTAAGGAATGAAAATAAAATGAAACCATTCGTATTGCGTACGTTGTATTCTCACATTTCATGAACTAACCTGTTTGGCATTTCCAACCAAGAACGTGAGATGGTCGAAGTGCAGGAATTTTCCTTTGTCGGGCTGTTTGTAGTAAAAAATAAATAAAAAAGTGAGTGGAATCGAAAAAAGCATTTTTTTTTTCATTTTAGAAAGGAAAAATTATATCATCAACTGCTGTCGATGAAGAAATCGATTCAGAAAAAAGAAACTATACGTATAGGCAAAAATTACCTTTTCTCCTTTGTCGATGTAAGACGTCTGTTGGAGACAATAAGAAGATGGAAATTCGACGCACGTATTATTACCGGAAATGCAAAGAAAATGAGAGATTAAACAAAACTGTGTCAAAACTCGAATTCATAATTTATAAAAAACTGATATAAACTCACCATGATTTTTGTTTATAAAACAAAGTATCACCACGCCGCAGGAATAATTTCACAGGCACTTTCAAACTTGACTGTGTTTTGTGAAAAAAAGATGAATTACTGGCTGAAAATGTTAGCGTACAAGCCTGTTCTGTAATTAATTGTGCAAATATGCAATGCTTTGTTTAAAAAAGTGTTGTCCACAATTCTGTAAGACTTTGTTTTAGAGATATTCCAACGAAACACTCCTGTCTATTCGCGTTACTTATACTTAGAATCGAAGAAAAATATTCAAATAAACCCTCTTTTTTCTTGATCCACTGCAATAATAGAGATTAAATCTTATTTCTTTTGGTTCTGTCGTTGAAATAAAATATTTCATCTCCAGAACTCATACAAACTAAGCAAATAGACAGGAAATTAATGCACTTTCTACCTTTCCTCTTTATTCATTGATAACATAAAAACACCACTGTTTTTTGCTTAAATAAAAAATATGAACCTCCATCCACTATTTGTGAACTTTGAATCTTCAAGATCCATTTCTATGAAAATTCGGAGTCTTGGGTAAAATTTTCTTCCGTGGAATTTCATTTTTTAACAACTAACGATATTACCTCATTCTGAAATCCACGCTTAAAATTTCGGTGTGATCTAATTCCGCAGATAAATAATTATTTGGGAACACTGAAACATTGCGTTTTTTTTTTGGTTCAAGGAGCACAGTTCAAAGTCAAGTCCGAGAATCAGTTTCTTCCACTTGCTGTGGCAAGTGTCCGTCAACTGGAACTGGTCGAATTACGATCCAAGTAAAGCCGATCAAAAGACTTCCTTTTCTTTTCTGGAATCGACTTCCTTTTTTTCTGGAATTGACTTCCTTTCTTTTTTTGGAATTGTTTTTCTATTGATCGGTTGCACCGTTGGTAGCTATGCCGATCAACTCGGCGCAGCACAATTCACTATGCGACAACTCGTCGTCAGATTATGTTTTTTATTTATTTCGGGCAACTTGTAGACGAAATGTCCGTTTGGCTTCATGCGAAACTGGAACTGCATACTTTTTTTTTGGCGAAACAAAAATATCCTATTGTGGGAACTATACAAATACTGCACCGGATATTACTTGCTAAAAATGTCCAAGTTACTCCCCGTAAATACTCGGATTTTAAAGTTTTCTGAAATCTTCTCATGAGATTTTGAATATTTTATGACTACAAATTTTTTCTTCATGATTCTGCGTTTTCACTTGCACATGTATAATTTTTTGTAAGGTGAATAAGATCAGTGCTGTATTCGCAGTGAAGAGAATTTAGTTAGAGTGTAGTAACAGGAAATTAATGTACTTTCTACCTTTCCTCTTTATTCATTAATAAAATAAAAACACCACTGTTTTTTGCTTAAATAAAAAATATGGACCTCCATCCACTATTTGTGAAATTTGAATCTTCAAGATCCATTTCTATGAAAATTCGGAGTCTTGGGTAAAATTTTCTTTCGTGGAATTTCATTTTTTTTAACAATTAACTTACGGGATTACCTCATTCTGAAATCAACGCTTAAAATTTCGGTGTGATCTAATTCCGCAGATAAATAATTATTTGGGAACACTGAAGCATTGCGTTTTTTTTTTGGTTCAAGGAGCACAGTTCAAAGTCAAGTCCGATCGAGAATCAGGTTCTTCCACTTGCTGTGGCAAGTGTCCGTCAACTGGAACTGGTCGAATTACGATCCAAGTAAAACCGATCAAAAGACTTCCTTTTCTTTTCTGGAATCGACTTCCTTTTTTTCTGGAATTGACTTCCTTTCTTTTTTTTGAATTGTTTTTCTATTGATCGGTTGCACCGTTGGTAGCTATGCCGAACAACTCGGCGCAGCACAATTCACTATGCGACAACTCGTCGTCAGATAATGTTTTTTTTTTCTTTCGGGCAACTTGCAGACGAAATGTCCGTTTGGCTTCATGCAAAACTGGAACTGCATACTTTTTTTGTGGCGAAACAAAGATATCCTATTGTAAGAATTATACAAATACTGCACCGGATATTACTTGCTAAAAATGTCTAAGTTACTCCCAGTAAATACTCTGATTTTAAAGTTTTCTGAAATCTTCTCATGAGATTTTGAATATTTTATGACTACAAATTTTTTCTTCATGATTCTGCGTTTTCACTTGCACATGTATAATTTTTTGTAAGGTGAATAAGATCAGTGCTACTGCTAAAATTGTCTTTCGTCATCCAGTTTTCGTGTTTGTCATTTTGCATTAAAATCTTTTTACAACGAAGCCATTAATGGCCAGTGAAACACCTTCGTTGTAACGAAAAATTCGTTGAGAAACAAATCATTGAAGATTTTGGCTATTATTGGGCAGGCGGACCTAAAAATTGGAATTTTTATTACAAGCGAATATTCGTTAAAACAGAACAAAAATCATTGCTATGCGATTCTACTATATTAAATGTCTTGCCAAGTTTTCGCAAATGGAAGAACTCTGCAAATTTGTTTTTGGCTGCGCCGAATTGGTTGCTGCTGCTGATGACGAGTTGTCCAGCGTCGAGTTGACCAGCGACAGTCGCACCGATTTGGTTCACATGCTACTACCGATTTATTGTTCCTTTTGCGACATTCAAACGTAGGATGTGTCCCGCCTCGGTTTCTCCCTTTGCCGGTAAGCTGCGATCCATGTCTGATGTTGTTGTACTAGCAGCATGCAGGAGCATTATAGCTTTGCTTCTTCTCCAAAGATCCCTCACTTTTCATCATAAGGCAATAATGTTGAGTGCAACACAAAAATCTTTGTCTCTTGCATTTTATTTTTGTCTTTTGCATTTTCTTTTGATAGAAATGAGCTTAATGAAGATTTATAAGTATTATTGAAATTCAATGAAGAACGAGACCCATTCTGAAATCATAGAGGATCAAGATAAACCATTGACCTTATATATGATTTCTCATCAAAGATTATAGCTAAATTGTTCATTCAACTATAAACCTTAACTGTGAACAGGATGAAGACCTTGTGCTTTAAATTGGGTTCAGTAACTGCTGCAATTGCTATAATTCTGGCTTATGCTGCAATTATTGTCACTAATATTTTGTTTTCAATGTCAGGGAAAGAAGGGGGTGTATGCATACACATCAGTTGTGCAGTTGTTACATTGTGGAATGTACAGTGGCCCCCCACCTAACAGACCTCCCATTTAAGGGATTTTCGCCCCACATCCTAACCTCCTCCCCACCCAACCCAAATGCATTCAAGCACTTCAGAATGGGAAACACAGGAATAAGCTGTATATATGGATACCAAAATAGAAGAAAATACAGTCAACCCCCGTCTAACAGTTTTTTATGTAATTGAATTTGTGTAAAGGACTTTTTGTCTAACAGACTTGTCCTTTGCACAAATCAAGTCCGTTAGACGGGGGTTGACTGTATTTTCTTCTATTTTGGTATCCATACATACAGCTTATTCCTGTGTTTCCCATTCTGAAGTGCTTGAATGCATTTGGGTTGGGTGGGGAGGAGGTTAGGATGTGGGATTGTTGATTGAACCTTGTGAATGCTGAAAAGCATAAAATAAAGCTCTCTGTTCACCTCTGTATTTTCTTTGGTTCCATGCAACAAACCATTTCTTCCTTTCACACATGCAGTAAATCCAGTATAGAGCCTTCCATGTTTCAGGTTTGCCTTTACATTCTTAAGTCATAATTTACAAGAATATATAGGAAAAAGGTGCAGACTAATTTTTTTATACTGCTTTTATTTTTCCAAAAAATTGACAGAGATTCACTTGAATACCATGCGTACCTATTTCCTCACAAAGAAAAAATTTTCTTATATTCAATAGATATGGTAATTTGCAGGCTATACTTGAGCAGGACCCGCAGTGTTTATTGCATTTTGAAAGGAACTTGAAACCAATCATCTGCAGAAATTTAGGATTCTTATAGCAAGCATGTTTAGTTATTTTCAGTCAGCTGCTAATTCCTGCTTGAATAAAAAAAAATAGCTGGGGATGAGCAGGTTTATTATTTCCTCTTTTTGAGGCTCCTCATCAGCGGATACAGTAGTTGGAAATGAAATTTGTGATGGATGAACACGTATTTTTCATACAGCTTTTAAAAGATTATTTTTACTTACTGAAAGCAAATTGTAAACATTTTCCAGTGCCCCTTGGTAAGATGTTCTTTGTAATTCATAGACTGGCTCAGCTGTCGACAGAGAAGGAGAGGAGACAAGCCCACCGCCCCTGGCCAAGGGACATGGAGTGACCCACCTTTCATGGAACATTCCAGATACTGCGGATTGCATGCATACCTGCGGGAAGCTTTGAAAGTAAATACATTTTTTTGGTTCATCAAAATTGTTTTCGATTTATCCATTNATGCTGCAATTATTGTCACTAATATTTTGTTTTCAATGTCAGGGAAAGAAGGGGGTGTATGCATACACATCAGTTGTGCAGTTGTTACATTGTGGAATGTACAGTGGCCCCCCACCTAACAGACCTCCCATTTAAGGGATTTTCGCCAAACAGACCAGCTCTGCAAGCAGTTTTTCCTCCCGCCCAACAGACAAAATCCGCCAAACAGACATCTTTTGGTTTAAAATTTATGTTGAAAATTGAATTTTTAATTTTTTATGTAATTGAATTTGTGTAAAGGACTTTTTGTCTAACAGACTTGTCCCTTGCACGAATCAAGTCTGTTAGACGGGGGTTGACTGTATTTTCTTCTATTTTGGTATCCATATATACAGCTTATTCCTGTGTTTCCCATTCTGAAGTGCTTGAATGCATTTGGGTTGGGTGGGGAGGAGGTTAGGATGTGGGAATGTTGATTGAACCTTGTGAATGCTGAAAAGCAGAAAATAAAGCTTTCTGTTTCCCTATGCATTTTCTTCGGTTCCATGTAACAAACCATTTATTCCTTTCACACGTGCAGTAAATCAAGTTTAGCCTTCCATGTTTCAGGTTTGCCTTTATATTCTCAAGTCATAATTTACAAGAATTTATACGAAAAATGTGCAGAATAATTTTTTGATACTGTTTTTCTTTGTCCAAAAAATTGACAGAGATTCACTTGAATACCATGCGTACCTATTTCCTCACAAAGAAAAAAATTTCATTGATTCAATAAATCAATACGTATTTATACAATATGGTAATTCGCAGGCTATACTTGAGCAAGACCCGCAGTTTTTATTGTATTTTAAAAGGAAACCAATCATCCGCAAAATGTTGGATTATTATTAAATCTTTTGTTTTTTTCAGTCAGCTGCTAATTCCTGGTTGAATAAAAAAAAATAGCTGGGGATGAGCAGGTTTATGATTTCCTCTTTTTTTGAGACTTCTCATCAGCGGATACAGAACTTGGAAATGAAATTTCTGATTGATGAACACTTATTTTTCAAACAGCTTTCAAAAGATTGTTTTTTACTTACTGAAAGCAAATTTTAAACATTTTACAGTGCCCCTCGGTAAGATGTTCTTTGTAATTCATAGACTGGCTCAGCTGTCGACAGAGAAGGAGAGGAGACAAGCCCACCGCCCCTGGCCGCAGGGACATGGAGTGACCCACCTTTCATGGAACATTCCAGATACTGCGGATTGCATGCATACCTGCGGGAAGCTTTGAAAGTAAATACATTTTTTTGGTTCATCAAAATTGTTTTCGATTTATCCATTGTCCTACCAGATATTGGGATAATTCGTATTTGGACTCGTCTTTAATCATCAGAATTTTTTTTTCATGGACACTCTCTGCATGCAACCAAATTCTGTCTACAATGAAATTTCCTGGTTCCTTTGAATTTTAATTGGATTAAATTAAATTGAAATTTAATTAATCGTAGAGAGGCGATTTTTTGCATTGAACCCTCATATTACATAAGCAAAAAACTCTATTGGGATTCTTCGGGGAATTTTTACGAATAACCCCCCCCCCCCCCCATTCCCATGACCTTCAATATTTTTGTCTTTCATACTTCATTTTGCAGGATATTTAAAATTCATTTAGATTTTTTGAACAAAATTTCATTCAAGAAAATCTGGAAAAATAAAGAAACCTTGAGTAATCTAAGAAAGTATCATATATTTAATCATAACTAGCATAACATGATCTAAACTAAACTAAAATAACCTGAAATGAACTCTAACCTGAAATAAACTAAACTGAACTAAACTAGACTGAAATAACGTAAACTAACTTTTGAACCAATTATGGACAAGTTTACCCTTAACCCTTGTGGGGCAAAGTCAGGATATTATTTGCAAAGTGGTATGTCCAGATGCAATGAAAATGTTAAAAAAGTGTGTTTTGAAGTAATCCTACAGAAAATGTTGCCCAAAATTTTTTCTCACTGGTTGGGATTTCTTTCTGAATTCCTCAAGATTTCTCAAGACACTGGGATATTCTCTACCCAGATTTTTCCTGATTTAGGCTTTCAAAACCCAACGGCATTTCAGTGACCTTTGGTCAATAAAACTGAAATGTGCCTATCCCCCTGGAAAAATCGGAAATATCCGTAATTCTCTCTCAGGCAGGAAAGGAACCCTCCACCATTCAAGGGTAAACAAAGCATTGCACTCATTGTTTTTCTCTCCTTTGAGATGCTTGAACCACAGGATAGTTGTTGGGGAGGGTGAGAGCCTGGTGGAGTGGAACAGCTCTTATTTGTTAGGAACTAGGATATATCTTATACTGTAGTATAGTAGTTAAGGTCCTCCCCCTCTTGCCCCCCCCCCCCCCCCCTTGGTGTTTACATCCTGGCAGAGGCTGTTGTAAGAAGAGTGGGGGGGGGGGGGAACTTTTGTTCCATTGCTTTCTCTTCTTCGCTCTTTTCAAGGTTTTGGGGAAACTGAAACTCCACACTACCCTTGCTGAATCATGCCCAACACAGTTGAGGCAAAAACACCCTCCGGCGCAACTGTGTCACACTAAAGCAGTCTTCCTGCGTATATTCCAGTAAAAAAAATTCCTGAACCCAAAAATCCTGCAGGATTTTTTTCCATCTGCAGTTGGCATTACAGCATTATTTTTCTACTCAGAGAGTCAGAGGGCAAATTAAGTTTATGCTGTGAGTTTCTGAGATGTACATACAAATTTCTTCATCCATTTCTTAAAACGCTTCTCTACCGTGTTTATCTGTAGAGAGCCTCTTATTTGAATATGGGGCAGGCAAAAAATGTTTCTTAAAGAGTGGATGATCTGGAGTAAAAACACCTACTTGGAGTGACAAGCTAAGGTATATTAAATTCAACCCTTCTAGACTGATTGGTATGAAGTCTATGAACACAGCTGGACTTTTTCTACAAAGGAACAGACAAAATTTGTTGTTGAGAGAATTTTGTTTTAGAGAACCCCTATAAAATGGAGAGAAACCAATGAGACCAAAGCAAAATTCGCGGCATAGACTTATGAAGGCTGTAGAGAAAATTGTTGCACTGAAGCGAGTGACACCTGGGGGTTCTCAAGGAAAATTCTTTGAGAAGTTCGAATCGTCAGTATGAAGATGGTTCGCGTGCCCGAACAGGATTCGGAGATAAACTATTGTAATTTCAATGTCACTCATTGCCTGTGTTTGTTTCATGGCAATAATACAATGAAATAGAAATGTCCACATGTTGGGATGCTGGGTGGAAGCAAATTATTAGCCATGTATTACTGTATATACGACATACTGATGATACAATTCATTTATTTGAGCCAGGAATGAGCCGAATGACATGCGAAATGTCGCTGTACAACACAATCTACTTTTTTTTTTTTTTCCAGCAATAAGCATTGTGGTATGTTGGTGAATATCATTTTAGTCATTTGAGCACGCGTTTCTGCTTCAGGTGATCTGCTATCTGAATTTTTTTTTTATCAACACTAGTAATAATAAAAGGCCTTTTCCAGGTACGTACAGTAAAAAGCGCCTAAAAAGGGTGGACAAAATGTGCGCGTCTGCGAAATGACAGCATAACCTGAATTTAAGTTTAGATAAAAAGTTCAACGTTTAATGTGCTCATTAAAAAAATGCGAATAAGAAATGCACCTGAACTTGCAAAATTTTGCAAAAATTGGATGAGCATGGATGACATATGCACCTTCTAACCTTTCAATAAAAAATCACTTCGCGCATGGTATATTAAAGTAAATGCAATACTCGTTAAGAATCTCACTCCCACATTATACTATCTTAAATTAAATTAAATTAAATGATTATTTCCAAAATCTTAGAGGTCAAAGATACTGTAATTTGTTAACCTTATATGATTGTTCATCAAAGATTCTCTCAATTGTTTAATCAACTAAACCTTATTTGGAAGTAGGTGGAACACCTCATGCTATAATTTGGGTTTAGTAATTGCTTTATTCTGCAATTTGTACTATTGATATTTTGTTTTTGTGAGCAGGGAAGGGAAGAAAAAATAAGAAACTGCACAACTGATCTTACTTTTTGGGATGTATTTCTTTTCTTTTAATATCCATGTACAGCTTGTTTCTCTATTTTCCATTCTGATGTGAAGAATGTTTTTGGATGAATGTGGGTGGAGAGTGCTGGAAGGTACCTGGATGTGGAAACATTCTTTGAACCTTGGAAACACTGAAAAGTGGAAAATAAAGCTTTCTGTTCAATTCAATCAAATTCTTAAATTACATATCATACAGACATTCATTGCAAATTTTGTTTTTAGATAAAACCCGTAAAACTACAACAGACCGTATGCATGAATGCTCATTCTGACCTACTGTGCAAAGTTCAGGGTCAACCGGGAATACTGCCCAGTAAAAAAAAGGAAAAAATCCGGGGGTTGGCTTCGGAATGCATATTCAGAAAACATGGTTGCTTTATTTTGTCTTGAAGCTATATCTAATATACGCAGTTACAGTAAAAGTATCACCAGCAGGGTCACCCTTATACATGTTCTTTCTTTTTCTCTCCTCTTCTTTTATCAACGCCACACTCCTCCATGAAATTTGGTCGATGGACCTCCGCATGTACATTTCCATGACAACCCGCACCCCAAACGAATCAATAACCCGCGTAATTTCACAGTCTAGAATCCCTCGCCTCGTAAAGCAGCAGCAGTCGCCTCATGGCACACATTTACTGAATGCACCTGGCTGCCAAAAAGTGGGCATCTTCTATCATATATATATACGCAACTTTCGCAAACGGAATCCAAAAGTCATGCTGTCGTGTGTCTGATTGATTCGGCTGTGCCTTCATCTCTTTTTTAAATACCACTATATACTGGATGCCGACTTGTGTGTAAAATTATACAGTATACATATATACGTATATACGAGTGGACCCCCCGAAAAAACGTGGAGCTGCTGAAGAAATGCGCGCATTTCGTTGTGTGGACCAGGTAAGGAAAGATGAGTGGTGGCAGTGATTCCTCCAGGATGACCTCATCCTCTGGGAGCATGAATCGTTACGTCACCATCAAGAAGCTGGGGGATGGGTCCTATGGCGAAGTGGTTTTGGGGCAACGGGTTGACACCGGGGAACGGGTCGCCATTAAAAAGTGAGTGAGGAAAACATTTTGAGCGGGAGTCGAAAAAATTTGGTAATATTCGAGGGTTGTCTCAGTTATTGGGCATGACCCTTTTTGGACTATATTGAAGGTGTGATCGTATATAAACACACACAAAATTAAGCCCATGATGTTCTACTATAAGGCTTTGGGCTTTTTTTTCTGGATTTTTAAAAAGTTTTTTAAAGTGACTGAATGATGAAAACGTTTAATTTTATAAGAAAAGTATTTTTAGTGTGCTCTAAAGGTGTGATTGTAAGCAAAATAATGAAGCCCATAATTTTCCAAGGTTCTTGGATTTTTTTCTAGATTTTAAAAAAGTTTCTCAATTTACTGCATGATGATAAGTGGAAAATTTCCAGTTCCAGAAAAAGTTCCCAGAAGCGATTTCGGGCCTATGTATAGAATAGCACCAACCACATTTTCCTGCAATTCTTCCTTTTTTCCCACACACAAATGATTATTTTAGGACTAGAAACCTCCTTACGTCAAATTTCTTCTGGGCCCTTGAAGTTGGACGTAAAAAGGTTCATATTTGCATGCAAAATCTCGAGGAATATATTTTTCCGAAGAATTCGGCTCAGTTTTCCATTCACGCAGAAAAATAAGTTCATTGAATTCATTGATAAATTATTATTAATTTTCGGTTCTATAGTAGCCCAACATGCTCATAATATTATTTGTGAGAGAATTACAAAAATTTTTGTGCGTTCCAGTGTGATAATTTGATTGCATTGATATTGCAAAGTATTTAACTTCCCAAGTCCAATCCTGTATAGAAAGGGATTCACTTCAGTGTACTCATTTTTGAAATTTCAAGGCTGTATTTTTTTGGAGTGTTGTTGGAGTTGTGTCCTGCTTGAACTTATTTCATTCTTTTTTTTTTTTGATTGAAGAATGAAGAAGAAATATTATTCGTGGGACGAGGCAATGAATCTGAAGGAGGTGAAGAGCCTCAAGAAACTCAGTCATCCCAACGTCGTGAAACTCAAGGAAGTCATCAGAGAGAATGACACATTATATTTTGTGTTCGAGTACATGCGTGAGAACTTGTACCAGCTCATGAAGTCCAGGTGCAGTGCATTCACTTGTTCATTTGAATATAGAGACTGGCTCAAACATTTTTGTCAGTACAGTACATAATACAGTAGGATCTTCTTGAAACAAATTCTGGTTCTTTGTTGAAAAAGTTTTAATTTTATTTTTACAATGCAATTTTTTTTCCTTGCATAAATGGCTTTTTTGTATCAAGTATCAACTGTCTTTCACTTCCCATCCAATATCCAAAAATAAAAGAAAGATGGAAGACATTTCTCTTGAATATCATTACTCAACAATTTAATGTTTCCTATCCAGCTTGAAACAGACAAAAGACTGCAGTCTTAATTAAACCACATATTTTTAAGCAGCAAAGTTATTTAAAAAAATATAAATTCTGTTTTATAAAGAAAGTACTGTACTATTGATAAGTTTCAACAAGGGCTTTGTTGTAACAAGCTTTTGCTGTACAATATATAAGTTGATTACTTCAGAGATAACGCTCATGTTCATCAATTTATGCATGATGTTTTCAACCTTGTGACTATCAGAGTATTTTTATTTTTCAGCATCATTTTTAGAGTTATGATTTCTTGAAAATCGTCAACAAGAGTGTCAAAATTTTCCCTTGCCAGTGTGAAAATTTATTTCTAAAAACCATGGCAAATGAAGAGCTGATATTGAATGTTTAGAAAATCTTCATCCAAATGCTTGGTCACTGAAAAAATATGCAATTCAGCAAACATGAGTCAAGCAATGATTGATTAATACTATATTTTACTCAGGATGAAAGTTAGTCCTGATCTCCTGATTATGTCTATACATTTCCCCTCTACAGTTATTATACTGTACATGAAAATCACGATTTGCAACATTTTTGAGCCAATTTAAAAACCATACAGTATTTACTCAAGTATATACAGTACCACATGCCTACAAGTAAAATGTACATCTCATCTTATGAGCTGGAAATCTGGCAAAAAAACCCGCCCTTGAATGAGATGCACACCCACTTCTTTGTGAATAATAATTGCATTATTTCAAATGTGATACTCTTTAAAGTTATTTGTGTATTGACAAGAATTGAATCTATATTAGTTAATTTTATTTCAGATGCAGTCCTTCACTATTTTTTCTGAAATATGTCTAACACTCCCATGAATGGCTTTCTATGTATGATGTGTATATGACAGTGAACCTAATCGCATACAAGTTATAGAGAACTTCACACCTATACACAATGCGAAATCTTTTCCCCCCTAAAAATAAACAGACTTGATGCTTGAGTGAATACTACAGCACTAGAATTTTTTGTTGATGCCAGCCCTGTTTATTAAACAGATCATTTTTGCCTTTTTTCTATTTAGGGATAAGTTGTTCCCTGAACAAATCATCCGGAACATCACATACCAAATTCTGCAAGGGCTCATGTTTATGCACAAGCACGGGTTCTTCCACAGGGATATGAAACCAGAAAACTTGCTTTGCATGGGACCTGAACTGGTGAAAATTGCAGACTTTGGTCTTGCCAGAGAAATACGGTCACGTCCTCCGTTCACTGACTACGTTTCAACTCGCTGGTAGATTATTTGAATATATATATTACTCAAAATGATAATTTATCAAGTAAATATATTTTCGTGTTAAATCACTACCCGAGTACCTGTCACTTGAAACCTGCGCATTTATTCAAATATTAGATTTATATGCAGTACTTCCCTGATTTAAATATCCAGTTCATCCGGTTAATTCCTGTAAAAATACCCTCAGTAAGTTCAATTTCACCCCAAGCCTCATCCGAAACTAAAACTTGTTGGGTCAAACCTACTTTGGTATATTTGTTTTTTAATTACGTTAAATTTTACAAAGTCTTTTGCATACAGCAAAAAATGAATTATTTATTATATGGTCTCTACAAAGATTATGTATCAAGAATAATTAATCTTGTCTATGCACACGATTTTATATGTACAGTATAACGATTTTTTGCGTGACCCCAAGTGGTTCTCTTGCCATGTTATAAGGATTCTCTGCAAAGAAAGTTATCTCTACAACGATTTTTTCTGGTTCCTTGAATTTCTTTGTAGAGAGAGAGAGAGAGAGTCCATCACCAGTATAACTCTTTGCTAATACCGTAATATAGGACATCTCTCAATGATGAAGAGTTATCATAATTCCGTGAGAATATAAATTACAGTACATATAATCTGTCTGGAATCTAATCCTCAGTGCCGGATTTATTTCGTTTGCAGGTACAGAGCCCCTGAGATTTTGTTGAGATCTACCAACTACAACGCACCCATAGATTTGTGGGCTGTTGGATGCATTGTTGCTGAGCTGTACTCTTTCAGACCTTTGTTCCCTGGTTCAAGTGAAATTGACCAGGTTTTCAAAATCTGTGCCATTATGGGAACGCCTGATATGGTTCGTATTTATAATGTATTTTTGATTATTGGAGAATAAAATGGTATTTATTCTCCAATTGTAAGACAACACTATAGTTTGTAGTTGCTCCTGTTGTGATAGTTCCACTCCAACTTTAGGATGCGCCTTTTACAGCAAATATTCTGATAAAATTTCCTCTATTTTTAACATTGTTGGAAGCTTAAATTTAAGATTTTGGTGGATGCCCAAAAATTGCTCATCGTTAGATCAGACTATCAGAGCAATGTACAATATGTCAAACCTTTCTAAGCCAAAAACCTTCCTAATCAAATTTCAAGCAAATCCCTGGCACATCTCCCTTATTTAATACCAATGCCTTCCTAATAACTTACCCTGGCTGGGAATTTTTGCCTCCACATTAAATTTCTGCTGTCAACTTTCCCACTGCCTTTTTTGAGCTAGTTCAGAACACCCAATTCTTGATAAGATCTCAATTATTATTGTTCTGCTTTCCAAGTGGGATTATATGCAAAGTTCTGCACGCAAGACATTCGAAAATTACATAAAATTGCACTTCAAAATCTTTTAACAATTATATTGCAGACCCATAGTGAGCATCAGGAGTATAATAAGGTACTGAAGTCAAATTTTGTCCTTTTTTCTATTATGACAGCAGCAGAATGGATTATGGATATGATGCAATAAAACATCATTTTGCTCCATATATATACAGTACTCTCAAAAATCAATATTACTTAATCTACGCAATTCCAGGCATGCACCTTATATAGAGTAAAAAATTCAATTAAATTTAAAATAAATTTGCCCTGTGGAATTTTATTTAGTCACTTGAATTTGATAAGAAAGTTTCAAAGTGGTGCATATAAACCTGCTGTATTTATGGACTTGAACAGAGGGATTGGCCAGAAGGTCATCAGCTTGCCAAAGCCATGAACTTCAAGTGGCCGCAATTCACAGCCACGCCCATAGCACAAGTTGTGCCGATGGCTTCGCGGGAAGGTGTCACTCTCATCTCGGATCTGCTCAAGTGGAACCCCGGGAAAAGACCAACCGCGAGTCAGTCCCTGCGGTACCCGTATTTCCAGGTTGGGCAGAAACTCGGGCCCGCTGGACTGAATGAAAGCCAAACCCTGAGGGCAGGGCAACTCAGACAAAGTGCCCCTGTGCAAATGGCCAAGAATAATAATAACAAGGGACGTCCTGACTCGGGAGACAGTTTTGCTGATGCTTTCAAGTATGTATATACATGCTGCGTATATGTTTCGCATTTCACTTTTCAACAGGTTCGCAATTTTTGAGTTTTTGCTGCTTCACAGTATCCCAATGTATTTCCTAAACTTTTTTCCTAATTTACAAAAAAGCTGATGTCCCATTCATTATTTCATAATTTTGTGCATTTTCACCACTAAAATGGGTGCTGTCTTGCCTCTCATTCAGCCTGAACATCTGTCATGAAGAATTTCTTGACAAATAAAGATTGATAGTAATTTTAAATTTGACTGTTGATAAATGAAACACAAGACTTTAGTTGGGCTGCAACCAGGTTGAGAATTTGCCCTATTTTAAGGTTGGTATGATTTTATGAAAATGCGTAAGTCCAAAAACAGTGATTTCTGCGCAGAATCACCAAGAAACAACACACGCAAATGTTTGAGTTGGAATGTATGGTTTTTGTCAATTTGGAAAACAGGAAAAGTGTCCTTCAAGGAAAAAAACCAGCAACAGGATTTTAGCAATAAAATACAGCTTTGAAGGCCCAGAAAGAATCATGAGAACCAAGGTCTTCAGAGATTCTCACAGAGATGAAATGAAAGAGGATTTTTACTGAGAACTTGGGTTCTCTGATTTTGGCATGTCAAATTTAATGATGCTATTTTATTTTTGCAAAAACATCCATGAACTCATGTGAATGCTGCTGAATTAATATCCCACACCAGCAAGGGATAAACAGTTTTTAGTCTCAACAATTTTTTCTGAATAAAAATTTTTCAAGGGAAAATTTGAATTTTCCCAATATGTTGCCCACAAACAGTCATGAGTTAAACCATGTCCCCACAGTTGGGAAAATTGGCACACATAAAATCCGCCCAAGAGCCAAGAACTTAATTTTTGCGATAAACTTTGCTTTCATGAGATTCATGTCGAATAAAAAAATTCTCTCTCATCATTTTCAGTGAGAGCATTCGAATCAAGGCGGATGAAAAACGAGACGGGAATAACATGACAGCCAAGCAGCGGTACTTGAATAACGCTAGATACGTTGCTGGACAAAACACCAAGAATGGAGGCAG